ATTCCAGGTCAGGCTGGACGGGGCTCTGAGCAACCTGCTCTAGTTGAAGATGTCTCTGCCCACGGCAAGGGGGTTGGACTAGATGACCTTTAGAGGTCCCTTCCAACCCAAACTATTCTAAGAAGTGCTTGCTCCAAGTGCAGCATTCTGCACACAATAAACTTACTAACACATGAATGTAAAACAGGATTGGATGACTTGGTTACCCAATTTAGAATCCTAGGCCCAGAATTCATATTTTGCTTTGTACCTTGACATCTTAAAACTGTTCAGCTTGTAACAGGACACAGTATGGGGAATTTTACTTGGTTTGAGCTGTAGCTTAAAGCTTCTTTTTACTGCTGCTGAGGCAGTGCTAAACTTAGGAGGGGAGCTGGGACAGAGAATTATTTGGGGTACGTGTATGCTGCTAGATTCCAAAGTCATGTAATACGTGTTTTCCACATTCGCTCCCTGGAAGGACAGTCATACAGATTTTAAGGGTGTCATATACTCATTCTGCCTACACTGAGGACACTTATGGAGAGAAGATCAGAGGGCTGTAAGCAATTAACAGAGCCATTTAGAAAAGTCATTGCCTCTCAGCTAAATGCAGATTCAGATGGATTTGTTAAATCACCACTGAAGGTGGTTTTAAGCTAACCCACATGGTTTTGAATAGTAGGGGGCTAGCAGCATGCAGCAGCTCACCTGGGGGGCACTGACACACTGACCTGGCTGCTCTCAGTCATCTGACCATTCCCAAATATCAGCGCTAAGCCAAGGTTAGCTCAGGAACAATCAAACCCGCAGGAGGAACTCTGGGAGGCATCAGTATTTCCTATATTGTTATTAGTCCTTCTGAGATAAAAGCTTAATTCTTAGATTGTTGTCTTTAAGAGTGGTCTGAAATGAGTTACTGTATAGCTGATAAGAACTGGAGGATTTATACTCTCATTTAATTTACTGCTGTGACAACAGTTGGGGTTGAAGAGGGTGGAAATGGGAGCAGGACTCTCTACTGACAAGCCAAATACAGCTTTATGAGATTGTAAACATGGCTCCATCATAGCAGGTTTCCCTAGTGTTGTCTCAGCAAGTGCTGTACATTCTTGCAGGTTGTGATCAACAGTGAAATAGTTAACCATGCTGACACTTAAACTGGTGTGTCTAGACCTCAGAAACATTACAGCCTCAAAAGGAAGAAGGGCGGTTCACACCTCTCGCTTTTTTCCCCCTGAGGTTGTCCAGATACTTGAACAGAATTGTGTTTGCAATACCTCTCAGAGGTTATTTTTGCAGGGGCTAGAGACTTTACCTGAGAGGGCTGGAGACCTTGCTCCCTTCCCTTAAATTCTGGTGTACCCTTGCCTGCCCTCAAAGCAGTATAGTTTACTGATTATAAGTATACCTCACAACTGAGGCAACCCACTTTCTGGATGGTATAAATTGAATCCGTTTTTGGAAGCTGTAGATAATGGTCTCTTTTTTTAGACCAGGAAGGTTATTTTACTTGTCCGCTAACATGCAACTGACCATATGTTGTTACTGTCTTCAAAGGCAAATTTACTGATTGGAAATCCTTGCCTGAGATATGCTGTAGCAGATTATTATTCTCTTCAGTAGGGTATACTACTTTGTTGTTAGATAAACCTGTTTCTTCTATAGGTGTAACAGATCATTTTGTTATTCCATTTTTCTGGGGCTAGGAATTCAGGGTTTCATGTGACATGCAGCTTTTTATCGAGATCCAGCTGTAGGGAAAAAGTGTGCTCTTTCATATTTACTCTATCTTATTTATCTGCCTTTTCTGATCTTTCATGGCATCACAGTGTTTGAATTGAAAAACAGCAGTCTCCACTTTGCTACTTTTCTTTTTTTCACCATGACCTTACTTTTCTTCCCGTTTTCTCCCCAGTGAAATATTGTTCAACTCTATCAGGAAGAACTTGTAATGGTTCTCTTCTTGCAGGAAATTTTCCTGTGCATACTGCAAGTGTGGCACCTGTCCAAAACAACTTAATGGTGTTTATGAGAAGGTCAAGTAAGCATAAGCTAAAATCTTTGCATGCTACATCTATCAGTGCTTTACTGCTCTTTCTGATCAGCAATCTCCAAGGGACCTTGGTTATGGACCACAGTCTCTACTCTGGCTGAAATTTCGGGAGGAAGGAAGCAGCATACAGCAAATAGAGTTAATTTCTGAGTGAGCGCCTTGGTTATATATCTGCTATTGAGGGACTAGTCTTACCAAACCTGTTGAAATAGTGGAGGCAGAAAGTATGACTTCTGATGCTCAGAAGTCTGAGTACTTCTTTTTGCCTCTCCTTCAATGAAGGGAGAAGCAGATACTAGTGAAATTGAAAGCAACCATCTTCAAGCTGATCACATGAAGCAGATTCACGTATTTTCAGTTTGAATGTGGTACTTACTCTCACAGGGTGTCACTGAGGTTAAGAACTGGCAGGATACAAAAGAAGACATTTATGTGGTTTACGATAAGACCACGGTTGTTATAATAAGAATTAAAAATACACAAGCATCTCAGAACAGATGAAGATCAGCCGGCTTCAAAATTAGAGTCAACTTCTAGTTAATGGGGGTCAGGAAGAAATTTACCCAGTGGTAAATTCTGTAACTGCTTTCTCCAAGATTTCTTGCAGCTTTCTCCCAGGTGTCCGGCATTGCAGTTGCTCTAGATACTTGATGAGATGGACTACAAGTATCACAGGACAGCTGTGTCTGTGTGCTTTTATCTAGCTTCAAATACCTGTTTTGAGGTTTTTTGCATGTTATATGATAAGATGACCACAGTGGAGAATGTTTCTTCTTCAGGTTCACTTATGTAAGGCGAGAATAAATAGAATTTGAGCCTAATTTTGCATGAAAATTCAAAATGATGAATCTGATTAGTTAGTTTTAAGTACAGATTTGGCTAAAGAGGAATTAAAATTGAAAACCATGTTGGACTGGTTTGTTAATGTTTCTTCTGAGCTCTGTGTTTTACACCCTCTCCTCCCCATGTTATCATTTATTTCACTTTTTTATGTCACGCTCCATTTCTAAGGCTCTGACATCTTTGGAACCGGTTCATAATTAAAGGAATGAATAATTCAGGTCACTGGCAATTTACAGTTTTCTCTACTCTGCTGTCTGTGGTGGAGTAACTAAATGTGGAAGATAAAAGGAATCAAAATAAGGTTTGCGTCATTCATCCAAGTAGTCCATAAATGATAGGTATTATTTCTTGATCTATATAGCCTACAAAGGACTGACAGTGTGTTTGGAGGCTGGATCAGACTCTCACCAGATCCAGTTCTTTATTCAAACACAGGAACGATACAGGTGGCCAGAGCAGGTGACAGGGACCATGAACTTTTCCATTTTCATTTCTTTCTTCCCACCGTGCCAGACACCATGTGCCTCCTGGAGCTGTCCTCCAGTCCCACTTTGGCCCCACCTGGGAAGGAGCTGCTCAATTTCAAGTGAGGCTGGAGCCACCTCCCGATACAGAGCTGTCCATCCTATCAGTGGCAGGACAGCCATCACAGACAGCAGACTGCCAACCCGCAGCAGAAACACTGAAAAGAGGATGTTTGATGGCAAGAATCATCCTTAGGTCATGTTAGATTACAAAGGCCATCGTTGTAGCACCATCTGCTTCTTCCTTCTCTATTTTTCTCCAAATGTTTAATGTGTAACAAAGGATAAGTTTTCTACATTATGCATTCTTTCAGTAATCTATAAGTGTAACATAGCTGGCTGTAGGGAAACGTAGCGAGGTACATGAACATGGTGTCTGATCAGAAGCATGTGAGCAGTACTGCTGAAGAGAGTAGGAATATTCACGTGCTTCACTTTAGACTTGTATTTAATTACCTTGCTAAGCCGGGCTAAGATCCCAACCAAAAGTCATGCATCATCTCCAAGGATAACCTGATTGTTCCATGGGTAATGTAAAATTATTTCTCTCTTTATGCATCACTTCAGGATAAGCCGCACTAAGTGGAATGAATTATTATAGTCAAAAATAAAATGCTGAGTGATAGCTATGTTGAAATGTACTAATGCTATTTGGAAGAGACTTGGGATTACAGTTCTGTTTCTTTCTTATGGTGGTTTATACACATTTTTTTCCAAGCAATTTTGGCAAAAGGTGATAGAAGATTCTTGAGTTCTTTAATTCTTGGATAGCCAAACCAGTTGTGTGTAGTGGCTCCTTGAATTTATTAGCTTACACTATTGAAGAAAAGTCTGGTTTTATGTACCGAGGCAGTGAAAAGTAACAAAGACAATGAAAACCAACCAAAATTGTTTATCAGACTTTGTAAAATCAGCTTAAAAAGTTAACTGTCAAACATATAGTTATACATATAAACTTTTCTATTTAAAAAGAAGAGTTATTGTATGAAGTTTCCTTGTACTGGCACTCCAAAGCCATCACTGGAAAAGCAGTGCTGCTGAGCTGAGCCCTGATGTAAATAGTGGTAAATTTGTTAACTTCAAAGGAGAGCTGTGATACATAAAATGCCCTGTGACTAGCCATGTCACCAGCATGTGGTTCTGGTTTCACATATCTGTAACGCCATTGATTTAAAGAGGTTACGAAGATGTGAATTTGGATTCACATAGTGATGGATCAGCCAGCTGCTTCATCATTACATATTTATTTATCCTGTGTTAATGAAAGTTGCTTTTGCCTTTTACCAAATGAAACTGAGCTATATATGCAGTTTCTCTATTTTGTTTTCTTGCCTAAATAGACACTGGGGGGGTGTCTTTTTTTCCTCAGTCCAAAACTGAGGGTAGGATTTTTTTTTTTTGGGGGGTGAATTACAAAGATATTATAGTCTGAATGCAAGATGGTAGGTCAGCCACCAGTGCTCCTGGTACTTGCTCCGTTCTGTGGCTGCATGCAGTTATTTTATATTTTTTCTGCTGGCTGAAGGATTTACATACTGTGGCTCTAAAGGTGACACTTACCAGCCCTCTCTACCTGTTACTTAGGTTTCTCGCTATGCAGCCCTGTTGTAAGGTACGTATGAGGCACCTCAGAGTGTGGGAGGCGTGTGGTACTGCTTCTTTTAATTTTGGGAGAGTATGTCTAATGGTATATACCAGCGCAGCTTCATTGACCTCAGTGGTTCAATCCCATTTTCTACCAGTTAACATATATTTCCTAACTTGAACCATGGGCAGAGTCAGGCCCAGTGGAAGGTTTGGTATCGGTCTGGAGGTCACTGCAGCCACGTTTCACCTGGAATAAAAAAAAAAAAGCTGTTGGTGAGGCTGTGGTTTTACCCATCTCAGGACAAAAACTTTGTAGGAGGTCAGTAAACAAGTAGAAGGAGGCTAACTTTTGACTCTGGAATGAATTTCACCCCAAGTCAGGGGTTTTCTGTCCCTCCCTACCCCTTTTACAGTGAAACCTTGGAGTGATTACGTTGATTTTTCTCATTCATTTGCTCTTGTCCCTTAGGTGAAAAGCTCATGAGATTTGGCTATCCAGATATTCCCTTTGATATGAACCTAACCTATGAGAAGGAGGCTGAGCTGATGCAGTCTCACATGATGGACCAAGCCATCAACAATGCAATCACCTACCTTGGAGCTGAGGCACTTCACCCCCTGATGCAGCACACACCAAGCACAATTGCAGAGGTGGCTCCGGTCATCAACTCAGCTTATGCTCAGGTCTATCATCCTAACAGGATAGAAAGGCCCATTAGCAGGGAAACAGCTGACAGTCATGAGAACAACATGGATGGCCCGATCTCCCTTATCAGACCAAAGAGTCGAACCCAGGATAGAGAGGGCTCCCCCAGCAATAGCTGCCTGGATTCTACTGACTCGGAGAGCAGCCACGAAGACCGCCAGTCCTACCAAGGAAACTCTGCCTTAAATCCCAAGAGAAAGCCAAGCCCGGCTTATATGAAGGAGGACGCCAAGGCTTTGGATGCCACAAAAGCTTCTAAGGGCTCTTTAAAGGATATCTACAAGGTCATCAATGGAGAAGGGGAGCAGATTAGGGCTTTCAAGTGCGAGCACTGTCGTGTCCTTTTCCTAGACCATGTCATGTACACCATCCACATGGGCTGCCACGGCTACCGGGACCCGCTAGAGTGCAACATCTGTGGCTACCGAAGCCAGGACCGCTATGAGTTCTCGTCGCACATAGTCCGAGGGGAGCACACATTCCACTAGGCCTTCTCATCCAAAGGGGACTCGTATGAAGTAGAAGAACTGCACATGAAGAAATACTGCACTTACAATCCCACTTTTCCTCAGACATTGAGACGCCTATTTTGTTGTTGTTGCTGTTGTTGTTGTTGCTGTTGTTTAATTATTATTATTAACCTTATTTTTTGTGGACCCAACCTCATTTGCTCTGCCCAGCTTAAGAATGGAAAGAAGGAAGGGAAGGGATAAAAGAGCGGTTTGTTGTTGACATCACTTTTTGGTGAGTGACCCGCCTCGCTTTCTGTGGGAATTGAAAGGCAGTCCGTTTCTGTCTCAGTCAGCTGTACATCGTGTCCTGTTTCGGGATACTGCTCAACCCTGCTAGGTGCTTTAAAGTCCTGACAAGATGCCACTCATTTACAATTTCAGATGAACAGGTAAAAACATTTCAGAGGAGAGCCTTTTTCAAACATGTAGATATGGTGTGGGGTTTCGGTGGCTGGAGGAGAAGGGGGGAACTTTATTCTGCAGCATGAACAATTATTTTTAAAGCAAAACTGTTAGGGTTTTAGGAGTACGAATCAAAGTCGATATTCCTTTCAAAATTACTTTCTAGGCTGAGCTGTTTTCCTGGGTTCAGTGTGTAGTGCCCCTCTAGAATGTAAAAAAAAAAAAAAAAAAAAGAAATGTATGTCTTAACACTGTACCACATTACAGCAGTTTAGTTTCATAAGTCTGAGGGCCTTCTGTGGTAAGTCTGAGGCTTTGTATTTTTATTTTCCTTAACTTATGAAGCACCTTTTTTAGAACTGTTGATTTGCTGTTACTCCATGCCTATGTGTTGACTCACAGGCTTCTTAGAGACCCTTGGGAGCCTTACTTATTTAGTTGCACCCTATGTTTTAAGAAATAGCATTTAGAAATAACATTTAAACTTGCTTCTAGGACAATAAGTGGCCTAGGAGTGGGTGAGAGAGTCTGTAGTTTACTCAAGAGGTTCTGCTGCTCTTCTGAAATAATTTTGTTTTAAAATTACAGATTTTAAAATGACAAAAGTACTAGTAGCAAAGTATTCTTTAAATATAATTATATATCTATATATACCCATATAAATACTTTCTCATTCTATTATCACAGTGTTAACCTCTTGGCAGCAGCCTAAACTAAGACTTGCAGCTGGGAAAACGCTAGGAGCCAGGTCCTCGGCCAGCATTAATCCTCTTAGCTCCATTGAATTTAATGGAACTACCCCAACTACTTCAGCTACATCAGGATCCAAGCCTTGACCATTTTTTCTCTTGTTGACGTCTTATTTGCTAATTTGCTGAACCAGTGACTTCCTTTTGTTTTTAAGTCATCAATTCTGCTTTAATTTAGGGGTGGAAGTGTTTGCAGATTTTGCTGGATAGCCTTTGCTCTTGGAGAGCACAGAAGCAAACGAACAGATCACATATGACCTTCCTTACTTCTTGAGAAAGTGATACATGGAGATGCAGGTGCCATGCTCTGATTTGGATTTGCAGATTTCACTTTTATTCTAATTTATTAATTTCACTCTGGGGAATACAAATGGAGAAACAAACTCCAGAGCAAGTCCTTGAACTACAGAATGGACAAGAGAATAACACCAATCTGTTTTGTTGCCTTTCTTTCTCTCCCAATAAATAACAAAGCCAGCAACCACCCAGCAAGTTGCAGGTTGCATCAGTAAAAACTGGGCTTAAACCTACGTGACAGATTGCCATTGAAACCCAACTGTTTGTACTGATCACAATTGAAATGTTGTTGTTTGGCAACAAGAGCACAGCTTAAGAATGGAAAGATCTGCATGGGTTTAACCCCCTCCGTGCATGCGGTCTCCATGTGCTTGGTGAGACCTTTTCCAAAGTATAAAGTTACTAAAGTATAAAAGAGAGAGCAAGATCAGGCCATAATGAATTCCCATCTGCGCACTTCAATCTGCGTACTTGATGCATATGCCAGTTTGCTGTTCGTTTTGAGGGTACTGGGTTTTTTTCTTCTTTTCTTCCTAGACCTGGAGCATTTGAAAGTAGGAGCTGAGTGGTATTGATTGAAATCTTTTTATGGTGACATTCTTGGCAGCTAGAACCTGTGTTTAGAAAGGATACAGTAGATCATGGCCAGATTACCTGATGACTGCTTCCCAGCACTGAAATGCTATTAAGTAGGAGCTGGTAAAGTCTTGCAGTAGCCTATTAATTATAATACAATATGGAGAGAAATGTCATCTTGTGTAATGTGAGAGCTATCAAGGCTGGGAATATATGGGCTTTGGAGAGACAGATTTAAAGACCTATTCCCAACATTGTTCTTAATGTCGTTGGGTTCCTCCCCCTCCTTCTTTCTTCATCCTAATGTAGAGGAAACTCAGGCAAATGAACCCCTGCTGTCCTCCAGACCATTCTCATTTTTTTGTGCTTGGTGCAATCAAAGGAGTTTGTGCAGGAGAAAAACAGGGAGACGCTGGAGGCACCACTTCTCTTCTATATGGCTGATTCTCTGCAGCTATGAAGGTTGGCTTAGGAGGCGGCCGGCCATGTTCTGCATCACGATGTGCTTGGAAATTCAGAGAAAGGGGTTTGCTTTTACAGCATGTTGCCCCAAAAAAAAGTGGTTGTGATTTCTGCTGAGGCAGCAAAGGTCTTTTAAGAACGATGTGCAAAGGGAAAGGTGCTGGGCCTGAAGGTCACTAGGCTTGCATGGGCCTCCAGAAAACACGTGCCTGAGCCAGAGAAAAGGGTTGCTGCCAATCTCTTTCAGTCTCTGGGGGACAACACTCCGTTCTCCCCTCTGTGGTCAGTGGAAAGAATGCAGGCTATGGTTTCTTGAAATAGTTAGCACTGGGGAAAAAGTGTTAAAAAATTCTGCCTGTGTTTGGAGAAAAAAAAAAAAAAAGGAATGTGGGAAAGGCAGAGAATCTCTTGTGTATCCACGAATAAGTTGGCTGCAATTATATCTGCAGTTCGTTAGTGTGCACTTTCATTCATTGATGATTCATTGATACCTCTTGTAGTGTATATTCTGTAGATGTTTAAGAGATCAGACAGGGAGGCTCGGTGGTTTTGTAGCTGGCTTCAGTCAAGCCCAACTTCTTGTTCCAATGGTAGCATGCAAGTTCTGTATGTGAGCACTGCCATGTCCTGGTATCACAGAAAGAGATAACTGGGGAGGCAGAGGGGAGATGCTGGTTTAGTTATCTTCCAAAAAAAAATGCATTTTTTGTAGAGCAAGAAGCTGGGGGGTTGCATTAATTTTTATTATCAATGTCCTTTTCTGAACACTTACTGAAGTTTTTCATCCTAGAGCTAGGGAAAGGGGAAAGATTAAATTTTAGTTCAAATTTTGAACAAAGTTTTGGACTAGCATTTATTTTAGCATTCGATTCCTACTGAAAATTATTGGAGGGTTTTATATAAATCAGTTTGCCCATACACGGAAGTGTGCAAAATGGGACCTCAGAGATTTTTTTTTTTTTCCCCCCTTGCTTGCTTTCTGCAGATTTCTAAGAAAAGCTCTTGCATTTTGTTGAGTTCATTAGTCATCCACAGTGTACGAGGAATTTCAGTAGACAATCCTTGGCCTGCGGATCCATTTGTTCTAAGTATTTGGTGTTGCAAATCGAAACTGGCTGATTTTTATTGGACTCTCTTGAAATTCTTGGAATCGGGTTTCCAGTTAAAAACATGCATTTGCAAATTTAGAATTGGCTTCCTGTGAGCATTCCCCATTTTCATTAAAAAAAAAAAAAGCCATTTCTGCACACATCCCTGCCAGTAAACCCCTTCACTTCTTTTTACATCAAAAATGGCAAGATTCTGGCTCAATTTAGAGTATTACAAGCCTATTAAATGAAATAGACGTGTGACTGCTTATTCTGCTCTTGGTACGATCCATATTTGTGGAGCAAAGGGCATTATCAATATATCTGCTGTTATGGCCAATGAATTTTACAGCCACCTTTCTTTGCAATGCATTAGGAGTGCACATCAAAATATATAGCATTTTTCAGTAAAGCCAGCTCCTTACTCAGTAACTTATGGGATTAAAACAATTTTATTCTCCTTAAAAAGTGCTTCCATCTATGATGTGATGTGAAAGGTGTCTAGGCATTAACCTCTCTTGGTCTGTATTAGAGAAAAAGAATCTAAATTTGTTAATTGGCCTGATTTTTTTAATGGCAGTAGTTTCTACAGCGTGAGGACACAGCTCACAAAATAGCCATGTGGAACTAAAGTATATTTAGTAAAAGGTGAAGAAATTCTCAATTTCAAGAGTTTCCGGATTTCTTTCTGTTTACAAGAGTATTCCTAAATTGGGGTTGTCAGGCTGAAGAGGAGGCCAGGAATTAAACCAAACCCTTCAAAACTGGCCTTTAATAGGGCATTATTACTGTTGTCTAGGTCCTGAGCTGGCTTTTTCCTATTTGAAAAGAAGCCCCAGTGAAAGAAGCCAGACAACAGACACTCCTTCCTCCAGAAACTTTGGAGATAATTTAGGGAAAGGTGCTTATTTCAGCCAGGGGCAGGAGCTGCAGTAATACAGTTCCTTTGCTAGATAATATTCCTTTCCTTAACTCTCGCTGTGCGTTATAACATAATGAGGAAGGAGAAGGCAGGCTGCACTGATACCTGAGTTGCCTAAACTCAGTGTGGGATTTTAGGAAAAGTGCGATGAAATTGGCTTTGACGCTAGAAATTTGCATCTTAGCTTGGCTTAGTATCATCTAAAAACAAAAATGGATGGTAGTAATGGCCTGCGGTCTAGGGCAGCTGGATTTTTGAGAAAGTATATTTATATATATGGTATCGTATAATTAGATATATGCTTTATTGTATATGTGCCTTTTTCAAATGCATTTTGGAAGTTCATGATGTCGTTCATGGTATCTTACCATACCCTTTCAGAATGCACGACAAAAACCAACCCAAAGTAAACATCCCTTCTCCTACGGCGTAGCGAGGCAGATCCCTCTCCCCTTCTGCACCCTCCTTGGCAGCTTGACCCGGAGAGAGGACCATCTTAGTACTTTGCTGTGAGATTTCCTGGAGTCAGATGGCTTTTAGGAGTGGGAAGGGCTGAAAATTACCCTAGCAAAGTACATTCCAGCTATCCAGCCAGAGCTGGTCTCAGAGCTGGTCCCAACCAACACAGCGTCCCCAGAGCGGTGCCGAGACTCACTGCAAAAGCCCCCAGCTGCACCGTGCCCCACTGAGTGCCAGGGCAGCTGTCTCCTGTTTTCCTCCCCTCCACAGCTTTAAGTAAAGCACGCTTGAAAATGGACTTTGCTGTGCTTTTAAGTTCCCATTGAAGAACGGGAGCAGACTTTAAAGCATCTGCCACTTGCTTCAACCTGGAAGAAGAAATCCAGCAAGAACAAAAGTTCTTTGGAAATGGTTCACAAGTTTGACTGTCATGCTGCTGCCACCCTAATAATTGGCGTAGAGATGAGAGAAGCCCATCTGTAGAAGATATTATGGGGGTTTATTAGCTGTAATGCTTTGGTGAAAAGTGCAGTGTTTTTTCGGTACTTTCCTGGCAGGTTGGTGACCTAGTTTCAGATCTAACTATTTACCCTGCACGGGTGCAGCATCTAAGCCTGCTGGCATGGGCATGGCGTGAAGCCTGCCAGCAGGGG